AATAAATAATTGATATGATAAATAAATTATATATAAAATTAAATATATTAATTATTAAATAATGACATACAAAACGTTTCTCATCCTGAAAATTATCTCCTTAAAATTTAATTGTTAAAGTCATTCTTTATGCAATGCAAAGATCATGTTATTATTATATATTTTTTAAATGGATAACATTTTTTCATTGTAGGTTCTATACACACTGTGTTGCAAAATGCGAAAATGAATTGAATAACTTATGATAATAATTTATAATTGTACAACTTTTTTATATATAATGATATCAATCATTTATATCAATAATTTCTTTTTCATTAATGCTTTTTATAGAATTAATAACAAAAATATTTTAAATGATCAAGTTAGAAAAAAAAAAATACCTCTTGTACAGTATTTAATACAACAATAAAAAATTAATTTGTTATTAATTATAACTATTTTATATAAGAGAAATAATTTTTTTACGATAACTGTATACACATATAATATCTATAAAAATATTTTATTCCCTTTTTTTGTCAACTTTATAAAATAATTATTTATATTATTTAATTAATCCATTGTTTATTAAGATTTCAATGCGACTATGCATTTCATGCGATTAAATTTATTAAGCCCACTATTGTTTTATAGCAGTTTTCCAATATTTGAAAAAACAATTTTTTATTTTTTCATCACATATGAGTGTTCAATATATGTTTTATTTAAATCGATAAAATTGCGACATTTACCCATATTTTGCGGTAACAATGCGATTTATTGAAAGCCCTTGAACTTGCGGGATCCTCAATGTATAACTATAGAGTAGGATCCCGTTATTCTTGTGTTCTTCGCTATCCTGAATGATACGCTATTCTGGACCAGCTGTTCCATTGTAGATTGAAATTTCCCCTTTCTCACGCTATTCCCCCACCGCACATTTACCATGTGACCATGTGACCATGTGATCATGCGTAAAGCGAGAAGGCGAATAAAAGATGGAATGCGCAACGACATTTCGACTATTTTGCGCATGTGTTATTAAAATAGAGTGGAAGTTAAAATTTCAGAATTGCAAGCGAGCTTGATTCTGATGATTTCAAAATAAAATAAAGTGAGTCTACTATAGCATTTTTGATGCGCTTGCAGATAAATACAACTCTAATGTTTTTCAATGCACAAAAGAGAACAGCTGATTATGTGGTTCAAGTTTGTCTTGTTCGAACAACAGCGCGTGAGAGGCACAAAAAATCGAATCAAACAGTTATCGGAATCTCAGAAAAGACGAAAGAACAGTATTTCAAAAAAAAAGGAGGAAATTACATTCACCATACATATTTACTGAATGTGGGTATTATTTCAAAGCAATAATGAACAGTCGCTTTGCATTTTAAAAAAATGTTTGTGAATGCAGCATATATAATAATTTTTTTTTTAAATCTCCAATCATTTCCCTAAAAGTAATACACACAATTGCGCCGTATCGTACAAATTTCTTTCATTTCCGTATTAAACATAATATTAAATGACAATATATTATAAATTAACAGCAAAAAATACAAATCAACCATTAATATATACATTTAATTATATACAGAGTGTCTATCCAAAGCTTGTCTTATCAAAAAAAAAAATTCCCTGATTTTTCAGGTAATTTATTTAAAATTCCAAGTAAAATTAGAGAATTTTTAGATGGAACTTTTTAAAATAAGTTTTTTGTGTGCATTTTCTAATGCTTTTCACTCATACAAAGGAAAAATAAACTGTTCAAATTTTAAATATTAAGTTTAAAAATATACTGAAAAGAACTGAATGACTTTTGTAAGATAAGCATTTTTCATTTGCATAATATTTTCATTTTCCATCATTAATTGTAAGAATTACAAAAAATATGTAGTCAGTATTGTGTATTCAGTATTTTTTGCTATGACAATGAACATATAATCAAAGAGAAAGATATATATTTCTAATATATTTGAAACATATAATTCACAATCATTGGCCAATTAAATTGCCGATGCTTGCAATATAAAAACAAAATGTTTAAAGAGAGAATTTCGGAAAAAATTTCCCGAGTTCCAATAAAATTCCATGAGAATTCCCTGATTTTTCAAAGTAAAAACAAAATCGCTGAGAATTCCAGATTTTCTAGGTTTTTCCAGCGAGTAGATACCATGAATTATTTTAAATTTTACTTGCTATTACTGCAGAAAGTTTTCAATCCTGGCTCTAGACAACTATATGTAGAATTCGTAGCTAAATAATTAAAAATTAGAGTGAATTGCAATTTCTCTCTCTCTTTTACAGCTTTAAAGAGTATCATATGCAATACATTATTCTCGATACGTACGCTCTCTCTCATAGAATTATAAAAAAATTATTAAAATTAGAAAAATTATAGAGGTGTGCGTGTGTGTGTTCTGCCCTCTCCCTGTCTCCTCCTTCTACCATCGACCACAATATCAAAAATTTGATAATGTTCTCATGGATACTATAAACATTTATTACATCACATAAGTACAATTGAACACCAAGGAGTTACTAAATTATTGTTGTGTTATTGTTGTTATTTACCATTGTTATTGTTATTACCATCGCTTATTTATATATCTATGCTAAGTCACTTGCGGCTTTGCGCATTCATAAATATATATATATATTTTTTTTTCTTACACAAATACATACTCTCTTAAATATACTTTTCTTTCTGTACAATCTATGTACACAGTATCAATAACAAGCGATATAGTTAACAATGGATTTAAATACATCGATTCACTTCAAATATATATTAAGAAAATCTTGAATCATTTCGAATATTACTCGAAAGCAAGAAGTTCTTAAAAATGTTGAGTCTTAAAAATTTGAAAATTTTGAGTCTTAGAAATTAACACTATTGTTACAATATAGTATTGAATACAATATGAAAATTCAAATTATTATCCGAGAGACTGTTGAATGTTTGATGAATGTATTTTTCAATTATAAGGGAAACTTTATAAATAATTGTTTAGTTTAATTAGCGTTTTATAAATTTATATTACAGAAACTTTTATATAAATAGAAATTATAGAATATCCTTTAGAGCATTGAAAAATTTTTCTTTTTTCTCTCTATATGCATATCAAAATTAGCAATAATATTTGATATTGATCTATGTCAACGCCACATAAAAAAAATTCTGTAAAGCAGATCTAATTATTAATATAGAAGAAATTAATGTGTCCAATTATTAATAAGAAAAATAGATTCAATAATACCAGTAAAGATACTGTTTTTATAAATACATTTTTTCCTTTATGACACACGTTATTGTTTCAATCTATACTATCTTTCATATACAAATGTATATGATATAATTGTATTTTCATCTTATACATTTTAGATATATATATTGAGTACATTTAGATAACATATATATAAATATGTATAAAAAAAGATATTCTAGTATATTCAAAACTTTCAACATTTTCGAGACCAATTTTTAAGACTTTCAAGAATTTATGTTTTCAAATAACGTTCAAAGCAATTCGAATCTTTATATATGATGAATTATTTGAAAATTTTCAAAAATAAGATTTGAACGCCCATTACTATATATGTAAATTATCTAGATAATATTGAAGGGCTTGACTTTCTTTGCAGTACACAATACAAAACTGTTTTAAACTTTTTGTATATATACACACGAAAGCCAAATATTATCTTATTCTGTTCAACTGATAGATTAAGTTTATCGAATATAAGTCGAGAGAGAGAAGTGGTAGAAATTTGATTACACAAGAAGAGACCTATATAGTCGCTAAGATCTTGCAAATATACATGTGATGTCGTAAATACACCATGGATTTTTGGTATAATTCGAACTTATGCTATTAAGAGAATTCCGGTATTGTGTATGTGTGCTTTATGTGTGTGTAAGATTATTATTAATAAATAGTCTAAAAGTTATTAGCGGCCGGATCAAATGCTTTCAACCAATAAAAAATATTAATGATGTAATAATCGTTTATTGTCATATAAATTCGCGGTGATAATTCAAATTCATATTGAGTCCAATTCACATCACATACTTAAATAAAATATATTATTGATATATATATATATATAT